ATATATATATATATATATATATATATATATATATATATATCTGTGCTGATGTATCCAGACTATGTGACAACAAATCACGGTACGATAGATAATCTTTAGCAGAAAAATATTCATGATTTGTTCGTGAATGCGATAGTGTCAGGTTGCCCAAGCCATGGTAGGCGACTTTTCTTTGTGAATGCACAACGGGAGCCTTTGACTAGCTAAAGCGTGACCCACAAGACAACGGGAGGATGTGTAAAAACCGCAGTCCATTGGGGGCTGGTGTCCAGTTCATCGGATCAAACGCCCTTTGGACGGGGTCAAAAGTTCAAGGTGACTAATACACCGCGAAACTCAGTCGAGCCGGCGACCAGTGCCAGTGTCTATAGTTTGCGTAGGGTTCGTACGCCTCTCCTTGGTTGGCTTGGAGTCACGATTTTTAGCCAACGCTCCTAGTTGCTAACTCAACTTGAAGGATTCTTTCAAACCTGAATCACTCATTACATACTGAATCCACCGTATGTCGTTCCAGTCCCTTCGCACACTATCTCTTGTGAACATTTACTGAAGTTTATCTGTACCCTCTTCAAACAGGTATACTCACAGAAACAATGAATTTATCTCAAGATTTACATCATGGATTTTTTTGTGATCTCTATGGTCTATATTTTTAGCCTTATTTGTTCGGTGATACGGTTAGCGTGAATAGTCGCTTAAATGATGGTTATTTGTATGGCTGTTTAATTAGCTTAAGTGATGCCAAGAATTAAGTGATCACTCGGTGTCTTGTAAAGTTGTACTTATTTTATTTTGACTTTGTTATCATGAATGCGGCTGTCGATTGAAATGGTTCAGGCCAAATTGAGTTGAAATTAACTCCTGCAAGGAAGTTGAGCGTTTCATATTCCTTATTGGAATGTTCAGACCTAAGTAATTTTCTGTTACCTCTTTCCTAATTGCATCACTGAAATAATCGCTTTAATTCCATTCTTGTGATAGTTCATCAACTTTCGGTTTGACATAATATTTCAGGATTTCGCTCTGTCTGTCAACCCCGCTTCTAAAACGCTGTTCCGTGCAAAGATAGTTGAGCATTCATTTAAACGAAAAATACCAAACCACTCAAGCGGTTCGTCATCTGCGTTGCCTCGTAGATCACAACGAAAAATCTCGCTTCATTCCGGTACTGTTGTCAAAGCCTCATCAAATGTTATTCCATTGGAAGCCAGTTCGATGAAATCGTCAGATTTCGAAGTAAGCACCTCGTATGCACCATGCTCAACGCTCCTTTATTTGTTCTGAACTTATCGAAATGATCGCCATCAGAATTGCGGTATATTATCACCGGCTAGTCGCAGTCGGTCACTTATATGAACCCATAAGAATAACGGGTTGGAAGCTGGTAAATTTTGAATAAGTAAAGTTGTTTAAATCAGACCTCATCCTAATTACTGCTAAAAATTCAATATTGACGCTTGATCCGATTAAGAGTAGCGATTGGAATCCAAAAGGTTGCATCACGTTGCTCATTTGTGTAACCAAATCCTCTGTGATTTACCTTGGTCATGCGACAGGTGTTAGTGTTTTCAAATACCGTTCACGTTATCAATCGCTTCGCATAAACTTAACGGCAATACTAATGTACCACATTGTACTTTCCAAGTTATTAAGAGATATCCTTTTTTAGCATTATTCACAGACCAATTTGACACATTTTTCTCCGAAATATTTGCTACACAGCAACGGAGGCGGTAATAAACAGCTTATTTGTACCTAAATACTACGGTTTAATATGCTGATCCTTGAAGGAAACAATCTACTGTATGCAGGTTTCATGTTGCCCAACTTGTTGGGATTGGGCTTTGATAGCCTGTGTGTGGTAACCATAAAACATGCGGAATAATTGATTTGAGAACAGTTTTGTTATTCCTTTGTAAAATCCTAGTACTGTCACTGTACCCGACAAATCTTGTGCGTTAGAAATAAAAACCATTGGTGTTTCTTGTGGTCTTTCTCGGTTTATTAGCACAATACGCTTTATATGTTTTTCTCCCTCACAGACATCCGCGAATGCGATTGATTCACGGGTTCATAAAGAATCTACCACTTCGACCGGGGTTCCAGAAACTCCCTTGGTGACCTCACAACACCAAAAGAAAGAGCCACGCTCGTCAAATGTGGTTGACAGAAACGATACTCGTTCAAAAACTCGTCATCTGTCTCCCAACTGTGCTAAAGAAAATATGAATTCTATCCTACTTTCTACAGAAGTTCCGAACTGTCTTTCGCATCAAAATGATTCGGTACGTATGACAAGTACCACTAATGTCATTCCTTATGTTTTCAGACGAGTATCAGGAAATTCAACTACTTACTTTCAAATAATCTCTTGTATTAATTAATATTGCCTACTTAACAGCGATTGCTTAATGGTGTTTCTACCCATCTGTATACAGACTTTCCCTGACTCAAATACTGCAAACAATCCACCACCCAAGCCGATCACTGAAGGCATTCCCATCCTGGGTGTAACGTCGGAAGACTCGATTCCTCTATCGCAAAACAGTCCGAGAAGGAAATCTAAGCGTGCTTGTGTCCATGCTCGACGCCAGTCAAACATAGACCGTGCGGCTTCGGTGGGTCATGCAGCGGTGAAAACGGATAAATACATGGATTCAAGCCCCTTTGACACCGTGGCTTCACGGGAGGTCCAGTCATCGATACCATCAGTAACTGCCGTTAGTTCCCTGAATAAGGTAAAATAACTCTCAATGGGAGATGGATTATTTGTGTAAGGTTTTTCTACTACCAATTGATTGCATCTATCGGTGAATGTTCACAGTTCTGAGTTTCATTTATTTGTCCACCACTTCATTTTTTTCGTTCCGTCGTCTTTATGGCTTATTATGTAAGATAAACAGGATTCACTTTTGTTCTGATCCCGAAATTTCTACTACGGAATTCGACAATAGCACTCGGTACCTAGTGTTTTCCTCTGAGTACAAAATGACTTATCTCTCGATCTTGGCCGAAAATGAATAAGAGCAATATTGCTGATCATAGGTGCTAACCCCTCTTCATTTTTACCTGTCTTTCACAATGCCTGCTTCCCACCATCGAATGGTGCATAGGTGTCCGAGTTGTCAGACTGCATTCTTGATGGGGAAACGAACGTGACTGCGGGTACGGGAAGTTTGGTGCACCTGCTAAACCGACGCGCATCTGAGCGTCGTACCGCAGCGAATCTTGTTGTCTCCGAGTCAGAGATCAGTGATTCGGTAACCGTTAAGACAGTGGTACAGCACGATTCGACGTTGGACAATCCGATCAAGGATATTGAGGCTAGTGTGAAAGAGATGACCTCTGTGAAACACGACTCAGAGGTTAGTTAACTTTGTTCGCAGCTGTCGTTTTTAATTTTCCGAATAAACATTTTGAATGGCACATTGGTTTATCATTTGTTTGATCACCGATTTAATATTAACCACTAAACACGGAATGAACACCAAATGAAAGGAACATGAAACCATGTTTCGCATTACACTGATATCGATTTCCTGTGCATTTTCAGGATCAGATACGTCCGAGACTATTGGTTTAATCTGTTGCACATTGGCTTCGCTTGTGGACTAGACTTCGGCCAATTTCGGACCGATGACATTCAGAATCACAGGGATATCGACCGGGCAGTTGATAATAACTTTCTTTGTAAACGGAGCGCACGATTTTCAGTAAAAAAACAAATCCTTTAGGCTAAATACTTACTGGAAATAACTGGCTTAGATCGGGATTGCTGGCACACAGCTCCGGTTTATTCGCATCTTATTACTGACTGATTGGTTACCACTGACCGAAAGTCGGTACGGTACGGTTGGAAATGGGTGTCATGGGTTGCAACTGGTCTTCCTTATCTTGCTCTGTACAATTAAGTGTCTCAAATAGCCTCTATTAGGAAGCCCTATTCATTACCTTCACGTACTAAGGGTTTCATCCCACCGCAACTAGAGAACAAGAAACCAACATTTGGGGTTATATCCGGGTTGTCGAACCACTGATAGCGTAAGACCCAAGCATACACTATCCTGATTATAGGAAGTGGTCACTGGTTTCATTATGTATCGAAATGTGCGTTTAAGCCCATCCAAAGGGTGTGTATAATTTAATGAACTGGAACTCGGCCTCGAATGGATTGCCTTTTTTAATACACCGTTCTACTGTCTTGCAAACCGGATTTCTCATCCGTGATTTCTTTATTACGTAGTCTGAACCCAAATAATAATCATAATAATTGTACTGACTTGACCCAGTAATCACAAACAACAGTTTAAATGTTTGTAGTATGCCCCCCCGCAAACCGACATTGTTGTTTTCTGGTGATCACTTAGGATTTGAATGTGCATACCGGCCTTTGAAACATGCGTGCTCACCGTCATAGGATTGATAAGCGGTCTAGCTTTTTGTTTTGCATGGTAGCAAAGAAGATGGGGATCACGACAAATACCTAGAACAATAAAAAGCGATGAATAATGTTAACACTCGACCACAACTACTTGATTTACTCTAAATCTCTCATCGATATTTTAATGTATTAATCGTACAACTTCCAATATGGGAGCATTTCCTATGGAAGGTTTTCTTGTTGTTTCCCAAACATGCAACATCTGAGTCTATTACTGACCTGTGCATTCCACCGCTCCACCCGTTCCAAATCCAAATTCATGCCATCTCGGATAGCTGCCTACAGAAACTCTTTTGTACCCCATCTCTCGACAAGGAAAGTGTTCATTCAGAGCGTTGTAATGCATTTAATGGTTAATTTGCATTTTGCACGCTTGATGTTCCACATTTTCTTTTTTACCAGTACT